AGTCTGCCATCGTCTTCCCTCAAGAGCTCCCCATCGTCACCAGAGAGGGAGCTTCTGGTATGTACACATTGTCTTCCTATTTCACATGTCGAATTGGATGAGACCTGCCCGTGGAGCTCCTTTTTCCCACAGTTTTCCTCACTATGACTTACTGGATGTGCAGATAAAAGCCAGATTTGTTGGCTTTCTTCTTGACATTGCTGGTAGCCCCTAGGGCACGTCCTTGTGCGTCAAGGACTCGGGCTTGCTTTAGGTGCCGCGATAATGGATGCAAAGTAGGCTTCCACAGTAGCAACAGTGACAATGCTAGCTTTTGTGATAACAGGAGGGTACTATGTGCACAAGGCGCCGTTCTGTATGGGTTGGGTTAAGTATATATCCACAATCTTTCACTGTTATAGGCTTCTGATAAGTGTGCAGTATGGGGATGGCAACAGAATCTCACATCTTCTGGATTGCTCTGATCCTCATCATCATGCTCATGGTGGTGTTGGTGCAATAGGAAAAGTGCCTGTGCTAGTGCTAGCTCCAAGTTTGTTGTGGAAGATGTGGCGGGACAAATCAGCCCTTTGGCAAGCACTGGGGCTATATTCCTTGTGCTCGTGGGTTATACATTATTAGCTTACCTTGCATTGAAGCGCATCTAGGGTTGAAAGTAGATTTAGATGCATGGCATGCCTGTGTGTGTGTGTGTGTGTGTGTGTTTTACATGCTGCTACATTTGGAAGGTTCTGTACTGTTAAAGAAACCCTTGAATGCTAGCATTTGAGTGACATTATTGAGATACATATGTGTGAGTATCCTGAAACGGATCGATTTTGGGGTCATATACCTATATAGTGAAGCAACCACAGGCTTTAGTGGATTTGGATCCTCTCCTATCTCTCCTTCGCCGGTATTACTCGTCTTTATTTTGAGCCCTTTGATCAATCCGATGTCACGGCTGATCTGATCTTCCTTAAATAATGGTTTATATATATAGTATGCTGGATTGACAAGTTGATTCCAATCAGTCTGATATATGAGGAAAAATTTTCTGCTGTATAGTTGGAGGATTGGGAAGTGATCGATTTGAAATGAAGAGAATCATTAATTATACATTTGAGCTTCAAATTTCAAATGGATCTCTTTCAGATTCAATATTGAGGGGAGATCGATAAGCTGCAAACATTTTCTTCCTCAAAGAATATAATTAATTATATCATTTACTCCGTTAATTTATGGATTATCTAATTTATAACACTTTTGTTTTCCTGCAGGCAAAATTTAATGGGGTTTTCTTTTGTAAATTGACATATATGAGTATGACGAGCATTTGGGAGGGATATGTGCAGAGAACGTCCCAAGTTGTTCATGCGGCTAGAGTAGAGCAAAACGAACCTATAAGCTACGGGATAAGGAAAAATATAAATTTTAGTTCGTGCACTTTGCTTGTGCTTTATTATTGAAGCCTATACTATTTTTTAATATTCTGAGTCCTTATATTTTCATTTCTCCACATTTTAAGTCCCTATATTTTATTTATTTAGAGACTTATAACACCAAAAAAAATAAAAATGTATGAACTTAGAACACTAAAAAAAAGTCAGGGAACTATAACAAAATACAAATGAAGTACAAGAATAAAAAATTATCTTGTACATCTTGATTTTGTTAGAGATAAATTGGCAAAACACTTGTCGTTAAAGAAAATTAATTATTTAGTCCTTATAATTTTGACTTAATTGTATCTTATTTTTTAAATTTTAACTTGTTGTAATTCAGTTCTTATATTTTTAACTCAGTTGTAACTTGATTTTTAAATTTTTCTTCTAACGATTTAGTTTTTATAATTTCAATAACTTAAATATTAAAATTTTAATATTTATAATATTTATAAAGATTAAAAGGATTTTGTAATTTAAATTATTAGTAATAAATTTTAATATATTTTAATCGTTATAATTTTATTTTTTAAAAATATAAGTATCATGAAACTATAGGGACTAAATTATAAAAAAAAGTTCAAAGATTGAGCTATCATCAAGTCAGAATATTAAATAGTGAATTGTAACAAATTAAAGTTTAGAAATTAATTTATAATTGAGTCAAAACTATAAGGATTAGATGATTAATTTTTTTTTTATAATATAGATGTCCTTTCCACGAAAATTTCGTTGCTTCTAATTCTTAATATAGTTTTTACTTGTATTTAAGATTTGCTAATCAATCTAAATAATAAAAGTATTCCAGGCAAGCTGCTCTATACAAATGGCTCCAGACAGTAAACTCTATTCATCAGCTCTATGAACAGTACCCGGCTTTATCTACAGTAACGGCTTCACGCCATCAACACACGGCTCAAGGGGAGGTTTAATTAATGAAAATTTTGCTGCCAGACTTCCATCTGTCTTCCGCAAGACGCTCATCATTGTATGTCGGGTAATGACTTCCATTCAAGACAGCTGGAGCTGTACCTCTCTTCAAAGCTCGGTGCTTCAATCTCTCATTCTCTCAGCTGCTCTATCTCTGGATGCATCAAGTGTTCTTCTGGCGGTGCATACATCAAGTGTTCTTCTGCTTCTGAGCAACTGGTGAGTCATGCATTCTTTTATTTCTCTTCCTGTAATTGTCTCTCTTCGAAGCTCGGTCCCTCAATCTCTCATTCTCTCAACTGCTCTATCTCTGGAAACCTTAGTTGTTCAATCGCCCAAACTCTCAATCTCTCAGGCAGTGCATGCATCGAGTGTTCATCGATGCAGAAATGGAGGACCATCGAGTGTTCATTGACCAACCTCCGGGAACTTTATGTTGGATACTTCAACACTTACATGCGCGGCATACCGCCTAAGATTGGAAACTTGTCGCAACTCGTCAGATTTGACGCTGTGAACTACAGATTGACTGGCGAGATACCATCGAAACTCGGCAAACTTCAGAACCTCGATACTCTGTTTCTTCAAGTGAATGGACTTTCAGGTTCAATAACATGCTTACGGGTCAGATTCCGGAGAGATTTGCTAAAGTAAGAGCCTCTAGATTTTGGAATTCTATCCAGCAAAACAATTCCAGTTTTTAGCATCCTTGAGGTAAAATTCCTGTCTTATTCTATTTGCTCAAGCATTTTAACTTAAGCCAGCACTTTATCCTATGTAATTTATTCCATTAAATGTCCTATTTATCCCATTAAGTGTTCTTTTGCTTCTGACCAATCTTAGGTGCGATAGTTTAGGATAATGAAAATGTCTATTTTTGAGATAGATGTATTATGTCAGATTCACATGTGTATTCCCCTTTAGTGAAGGATCACCTATTCCCCTTTAGTGAAGGATCCTTTTAGGCTCTTGCCAACTTGGATGCTGCAGACTAGCCATTCGCGTGCTTTTATTGGCTTGCTCATTAGTTTTTGTTTAATCAGAGAGGGTGGATGATGAAGATTCGTTTATGTGTTCGAACTATCCTATCTCATCCTCTTTAAACAAAAGTCTTACTGCCTACGTACAATTGCCTTATCATCTATAACCATCTATATTTATCCAACATTCACTAACAACCACCGTTCAATCTTAAGTCAGTATGCTTAAAAGTATCTGAATCACTATACTGAAGCAATGTTAAGAGTGTGAATCTTAGGTACAATATACCGACTAAATCCATGATCTTATACTGTCACAGTAAATTCTTGGATTATAAAGCTTGACATTTTTCGTCTGTTGCACAGTAGTATCTTCCTTTTGTTTCCTAAAAAACTTTTATTGTGTCTGTTACTTCCACTGATATTTTTTTTAGGATGAAGACATGGAAGGACACCTTGAGCATTGTGCATGGAAGTCCGCATCCAGTTATCATGGTTTCTTTTCTTTACTTAGGACTAGAGTAGCTACTATGTTGCTGTTGCACTTTTAATATTTTTGGCCAACAACTGTAATATGTTTGGTGTATCAATTGTATTTATTTTCATATTCGATATCACTCAAGAGTTTCCTTATTTTTCCAGTATCAAATTTATAGAATAATTAGATATATGCAAACATTAAAAAGTTAAGAGTTTAGAGTTTGTTAAATTATTTGAGTTCTCTTGCTTGAATATAATCTACTAAAGGGATACTCCAACTTTATTTTGAAATAATTCATCCTACTGCCAACTTAGAAAGTTGCAGCAATTTAAAGGGCAGATCATTTTAAGAGTACCCTTTTAGTTTTCTATCACCTACTATAATAGGACGAACTCTGGACAAAATCATGTTTGCAGCCATAACAACTCAATGCATTGATAAATTTTTTTATTCTTTTTTATTTTTTTTACTTTTCCAAATATGATGAGGCATGGCTATTAGTTCTAAGTCTGTTATATCTAGATCTTGCTTACTTTTAATATGATGAGGTATGGTTTCTTGCTTTGTAAATCATGATAAAATAGTTGATTGTTGATTTTTGTAAATCATGATGTGGAGTTCCTTATTATATTAGTACGTTTCAACCATGTTCATGAAACCGTCATTTTATGAGTCACTTTTCCAAACATTGTGAAATATGTTTTGACTGATGGATAACAATGTGCAAAATAAGGTGAGGATACATGAAAAGGCAATCTATTAATAAAAGTTGCTTTGTTTATTAAGTATGATTGGACGTGTTTCTTGCAAGAGTAGGTATTGTAGGACACATAGAGCATTGTGCGATGTACTCTTCATGTTACATCCTGTCTTCTTTGTTTCCCGATATCATAAGGCTATTGCCTACTTAAGACACTTAAACCAGTCCTTATTAGCTGTTTACTCCTTGCATGGGATAGTCTTTTACTTGTCACTCATAAGCTGTACCTTCTGTAAAGCATTAAATTCCACTGTACGCACATATAGCTCACATCTTCACGTGAGAACTTGCTGTAGGTGGCTTCTTTTTTGGTTCCCGCCAATCTGAATTCATGTAGTGTCTAATGTGAACTTCCTATTGTGTCCTCCTACATGCCTCTATTTATTCCCCCTAACTGATTTCATTTTGTATCACCATCCCATACTTTCAAACCAAAAAGTATTTGCTTCTGCACTGTCCAACCACCTCCTCTTCGGCTGCTGGAATGGCACCAAGAAAAGGCCATTTGATCAGAGAACTTCATGCTTCCAAGGAGACGTGGACCATTGTTGTAAGGGTTGTAAGGAAATGGAATGTTACTCCTAAAAACAAGCCTTTAGAGGTATTTTGTATCAACATGATTCTCATTGATGAAGAGGTATTACATTTTCTAACTATTTTCAAAATTTCTACATTAGTAGATCATATCCCTTGGCTTAGTTACATGTGTTGTTCAACATATCATACTTATCTAATTTTCTCCGTTTGTTAGGGTGAGAGGATACAAGCAAGTGTTACACAAAAGCCTCTTCTTGAACGTTTCAGAGATAGGGCTGTTGAGGGAAGTACTGTATTCATAGCCAATTTCAATGTAGTAGAGAATAACCAGTACAAAGCAACAAATCACACTTACAAGATCATTTTTAATGCAAACACTTTCATAGATGAAGAGAAAGCAAACATACCATGGAACTCTTTCTCTTTTATGCCTATTAGTGTTTGCCTTGAGCAAGAGATTGCACCTGAATACTTGATTGGTAATTTGTTCAAACAATATCTTCAAGGAATTTGTTTTTAAAATGACATGAGATGTGTGCCCACGAGTTATCTTCTTTACAACCTTCATTTCTGTAATATTCCTTTAAATATGACATTACTTTCTCCTCCATACTTCTCTGCCTTTATACAGATGTTATTGGAGTGTTAAAGTCCATAGGAAAGCTTGAAGAGTACAGGACCGAAAATGGATTCCAAAACAAGCTGACTTTAACATTGGCAGATCAAAAGTAAGAATATTTTTTTAATGGGTGCATGTCTTTTATTCTGCATGACCTAAGAAGCTGTTCCTAACTTATTTCTTTTGCAGTGGCACAAGTATTGTATGTGTGCTTCTTGGAGAGTGTGCCTCAAATACCTATTATAGCTATCTTGACAATGAAAGGTTTCCATTAGTGTTTGTCATTCAACTGTGCCGACTTACTATAGACAACAGTAAGAAATTTTCAACACACTCTTACCTTTGCCTTTTTGACATGAGAAACTAATTTATTTTTTCCTGTGCAGAGGAGGTCCAGATTGGTTCATCCTTCAATGCAACAAAAGTGTGGATGAATCCAAATATTAAGGAAGTTTCAGATTTGATCGACAGGTTTAGCAAAAAGTGACCAGTAGCATGAAATTTATTACAAGCACCATTTCTTTAACCCTTTATCCGTTTATCAACATGTCAGTTACATTACAGTGTTTGCATCAACTCTTTTTTGTTTTCCAGTGCCAAGGAAAGCTCATCTCCAAACAACTCTTGCTTCAGCCAAGTTATACCAATTCAAACTACACAACTCTCTGCAAACTCTATGTTGAGATCCACTAAGAAGATTATGATTTCTGACATCGACACAATGAAAGTGGTGACCTCATAAACCTATGTGAATGGTCATGGATAAAGTTTCATTTTTAATGACATGTTACCTTTTTTTTATTATTATTAGGGTGATCCATTTATTATAGAGTGTGTAATAGAGAAATTAGAGACTAATCCAGGCTGGACATATGAGGGTTGTATCAGATGTGGAACCAAACATAGGCCTAATTCAAAAGGAATTATGGTTTGCCCTTCATGCCCCAATGATATGACTCAAACTGAATTTAAGTAAATTTGCTAACTTTTCCTACTTTCTTTTCATTTGTGGTTTACATTTAACTCTATTCTCATTACATATGGTTGGAAATCTATTTAATTAGGCTCAAAGCACACTATAACGTGTCTGATGAATCTGGAAATACCTCTGTTGTCTTTTTTGACAAGCATGCGTATGAGTTCACTCTAAAAACTGCTTCTGAGATAAAAGAGCAGCTGCATAAAGTAATCTCTTAGCACTCATCTCTCTATCTTTTCCAAAATTTAACCACATATTGTCTAACTTATCCTTGAATGCTAGGAAAATCGTTCATATGCCTTCCCAGATGAGCTTGAAGATGTGGTAGGGAGAAAAATGCTGCTCAAGCTAAAGCGTACAAGCTACAATCTTGAACATCCTAACTCTAGCATTGGTGTGGTTCAATACACAGCATGTCAAGACCTTCTTGAGCAATTTAAAGAGGCTTCAGTAGAGGTGAAACAATTGATAGCTATTATGGTTTAAAAGTTTATTCAATAACTGACATGTTGTGCTAAATTATTTTGTATTTTGTTTGGTTTTTTAAAAAATTTTACATTCTAGGAGGGTACCAATTCAGGTCTGGCTATTATGGTCTTAGAGGGTACTATAGTTAAAGAGGGAGTGAATGAGGTATAATGAAATGCAATTTTATATTTTATATTAGTTATGGTCTATGAAAAGTTTTTTTTATGCAATGAATGATTTAGGAGTGCCTTTGTGTGTGTTTGATTATTGCAGGTGGTTCCAACAGCCTCAGACTTTAAGAATAGTCATGAAGAATCAACTATGGGTTCATCTCTTTCCAAAGTTGAACCAATAATGTCTCAGGACATTGGGCTTGATGAAATGACTATATCTCAGCTGTATCCTCCTCCATTGCCAAGAGGAAAGAGGAAGCAATATTTGAAAAAGAGTGCAGAAGTCCAGCAAATTAATCCCCAACCTCAACCATCTACTTATGCCATGCCTAACACCAAGCCTGTCAAGATAATTAAACAAGAAAAACCTTGAGCTTTTTAAGAGCTTGAACTGAAGCATTAATGTCCTTTTTGTTGTTTCTGTGTTTTTTTTAACTATTGTTGTGCTTAGTGTTCACTTATCATCTTGCCTTTCCAGATATTAGAATTAAAACAGTTATTATATTGCTGTTTAAGTTTTATTTCTTTTAGCCAGGAACTCTAATATGTAATGAATTATTAATTACTAATGGCATTTATTTTAAGGTCTGTCAATGCTCCAGGAGCTCATTATTTTTCCTCTACCAATTTTCCATATTTTCCAGGAATGCAGTGCTGAAAATAGGACAACTTGATGACTTCCTTTTAAATTTGTGTTGCGTGACTGATCATTTTAGCCCCTAAATGAATATTTCAGTAAACAATAAATAATGTAGATGTATTATACTGTCACAGTAAATGTTGGTTTCCCTCACTTGGTCTTTCTATCTCTATCTTTATAAAGGGCAAATTCACAGCTTCTAGACTTCTATAGGTGTGTGTTACACTGTCATAATGTTGCAACAAAATCAAAATTCTCGTCAGTTAAGATGACAACAACATTCCAACCAAAAACATGGCCTTTTGGTATTTTATTTATGAATTAATTATGTATTTTATTTCCTTTTGGTATTATCTAAAATGCAGCTTAAAAGATAATAAAATTCACACCATTATAGAATATGTGCATGAAATATGAGTGACCACTTTAAATTCAAAAAATTAGTTATGATGCTTTAAACGTTAATTAAATTTTTACAGTGCATGATACCTACACGTATATTCTCATCCTCCATTTAGACCAAATTAAATCTGGAAAACGCTAATTGATACTGCAATCTTCATAACACTATGACAGATTTGAACAAATTATAAAGTATGAAGAGATATTCTTTTGAACAGATTGGAAGGTATGAAATTATGTCATATAGAATTAATATAGCAATAACTTAAAAAAAAATTCTTCCAAGCCAAATCAAGATGGGAAGTAATTAGAAACAGATCTATAATTAAAGTAAATAAATAAACTGATGCAATTCTAATTTAAAGTAGAAACAACCTGACAGTAAATAATTAAGTAAGTCACCAAAAAAAATCGATTTGATGAAAAAATATTGACTCACCCATTAGTGCAAATATTTGAGAAACACATGACGGCAACTCCATTGAACTAATGCAATTCTAATTAAACAAGATATCTGACATCAAATATGTTTTAATATATTGCTAATATACCAGAAACAATGGGCATCGTAAAACATCTTTGCTGTCATAAGTTGTTTGCTAAAACAACAAGTTTTAATTCATAGCCAGTTGTACAAGAAAGATTTTTTTGTTATCCAAAAAAATAAAAAGGGACAGAAAAATAGTAAATAAACTAATAGTAACAGCATCGATATTACTTGCACTGGTATAAAATAAATTAATAACCAGCAGTTAACACCAATACACAGTCAATAGATTTGAAATTTGATAACATCATTACTATTAGTTGCCTACCTGTCACATAAGCCAGACTTTAATTGCTTTCTACATGCTTCATTAAATGCTGTAAGATTCAACTGAACCAGAATCAGTGTATTTCACCTACGCCAGGTGCATTTGTCAGTGTCAAAATGCTTTAATGCAATATTTTGACAGTTAGTCTATGTACAAACACCTCTAGAGTCATGTCACTTCTCTACTTTGTGAAATCAGTAAGAAGAGATAATAAGCCGCATAAGCCTTTTCCAAATGTCAAAGTCATCTAATTAATGCACACAGCCTATTGAGGTTTCCAAGAATCCCTTCCTACCTTAACCTCTTAGCTTCAACCTCCTTGGATATTGTGAACCAAAATCTGAGATTTGAAACTAAGAGCATTTTTCACGTCAACTGATTCAAATATCATTTGTAGTGGTTTTAGAATCAAGAACTCGGTAGAGGAAGTCAAGATGAATTTGCTAAACTCCAATCTAACAGCAGATAAAAAATTCAGATTGCACATTCACTGATTCAAAGTGCAAGCTTAGTAGTTTCTGAATTAAGTCTTAGTACTTGAAGTCAGAACTTCAATACAAGATGTTCAATAGAAAGAGAAATAGTGCAAGGTTATCTGCTATCATGACTTCCACGTTTGAATCACCAGCATCTGAAGACAATGGCACACCAGAACCTGAAGCAGAGAATATACCAAATACAAATCCTTCTCAACTCTTCTCAACCAATAAATCTCCACATCATAGAAAACAGGCAAGGATAAATGCTCTTCAAGACATAACTAATGTAGCAATTAACCTGTCAAAGAAGTTTGGTAATGCTGATGTCGAAGGTATTGTTCTCCCTCCATGGCTTATTATTACGAACTCATGACCAATCCCCTGATTTATTTGTGATTTGCCCAGCAAGTACGAATGCACATCAACTATACCATAAATCAGACTTAGAGCCAATGTTTAAGAGAAGGAGCACCAGATTCTGCACTTTTCAAAACTTTGGCTCCAATGGTGATTTCATTTCCTTTTCTCAATTGCAGAACACTCAAGAACAAGGTACTTCATTCAAAATTTATTTTCTACCTATCGGATGGGTGCTTAAGTGATATTTTTATAGTCATTTCTACTCAATCAGATTGAGTTGAATAAATCAGTATATTCAAATATAAAGGTTGTTATGTGATAATGTAGTTTTTGACAGAATTGCAACTGCTTTACATATGGCTTGCTATTATTTAACCCCTAATTGCATGCAAATCGTGCCACAGTATGAACATTCCACTTGTCATTCCTCTTGCAAATAATGCTTCTGATTAATCTTCTCATGGTCCCACTTTACTATGTCTTAGGACATGATAGATGTGTATGTTAGTGCTAACTTCATTTATTATATATAACAAATTCATTGACATTGTGGATATTGATGTACGGTAGTTCTACTTCATTTATTATGATAAATGCTATTATATTTCTAGGATGGTGATATTCTTTTCATATGGCAATATGCTTTCCAAATGGCTTTACATAATCAATTACATTAACCAGATGTCATACGGCCAATAATGCATGTATTGTGGCAAGTTATGCGGCTATTTTATTGTTCTGCACTTATCTAGACCCCATGTGCTATCCACGTTGTCATTTCTTTATGAGATTATACCCATGGCACAAGTTTTAATGAATTCATGTTGTGGTGATGATAGTTTAGTATATATATTTTTTTTGTGTAGTTTATCTTATATATTGTTTTGATAATTCATTGAATGTATCCCACGTGCTATCCACTTCCTTTTGTTATTCACACATGAAAAAACAATAGTATCTTTGTTTTTTTTCCTATGTGGCATGTGTTATAATCAGAAAAGATCAGTATGCCAACTACACAACATTCAAATGCTGTCTTGGAATTACCAGTACATAGAGAACTATCAATAAACCAAGGTTAACCATTAATGCCTCTACATGAATGTTTCATTTTCCAACTACATATTTTGATGTAATTTAACCCAGATTTCTTTACAGATGTAGAAAGAGATTTATACAGTTCTACTACCTCTCACAATGATAGAATTCAAAGACGTACATGGCACAAAAAAACTCAAGCAAATAAATCAGTACAGAATTATGGTAGCACTGGTATTGATTGCTTAAAACTACCTCCTATGTAGCATTCAATTCTGACATTGATTATTCCTTGCAACAAAAAAATTATAATTGCATTATCTAAAAGCATAACAAATATCAATGAGGATGAACATGAATGATATGGCTGAATTTAATTTTCAAAGTTCTAAATATTCAGGTTTGAATTATTCACAATATATGCAAATCTCTTTTTATCAAATTAACTGGATATATGATAAAAAAATTTATATTCAGAGGAGTTATCTACTGATGATGATACCAATCCAAATGAAGACCATGAGTGTATTGTTCTGGCTGGTGTGGCTGAAAGTAATGCTTTAGGTATATCTCTTTCAATATCATATGGCGATTCAATTTTGACTACACTGAATTGATATTAATGTTGTTAATACAATAATTTCAGATTACTTGGATGAGGGTGATCCAACTAATGTCTGCAAGTTTTGCCAAGCTCAAATGTGGTTTAATGAAAGGGCTAAAAGAGATAGAGGCTCAATAACTAATGGGTTTTCTTTGTGTTGCCTCAAGGGAAAAGTGTTATTGCCACCAATGCATTCTCCTCCTCAATTTATAAAGGACTTATTCTTTAACAAAACACTTCCTGAGTCAAAGAATTTTCGCTCCAATATTCGTGCTTATAATAGCATGTTCTCATTTACATCTATGGGTGGTAAGATAGATCATTCAAAAAATAAAGGTGGTGGTCCATACACCTTCATTCTGACAGGGCAAAATTACCATAGAATAGGCAGTCTTTTGCCTATTGAGGGGTCCAGACCAGTGTTCTCTCAACTCTATATTTATGACACGGAGAATGAAGTTTCCAACAGAATCTCAGCCGTTAGGTCAGTTCAAATTCTTAAATTTACATAAATTATTATTGTAATAAAAATCACATTACTAATCCATCCTTCCATTAAATTATGTGCAGTAATTATCAAAGTCAGGAAGGTATTGATCCAGTGATTGTAGACAAGATCCGAATTACTTTGGATGAAGTGAATCCATTTGTCAAACAATACCGTTTGGCATCAGCAATGATTCAAAGTCATCTACCTTATAACATGAAATTAGCATTACTTAGTAAGCGAGATAAGGATGGACGCACATATAATGTACCGACATGCTCTGAAGTTGCTGCACTCATTGTAGGAGATATTGATCAAGCATTCCATCCTAGAGATATTATTGTTGAGGAACTACCAGGCACAGTGCAACGTATCAATGAGTTACACCCATCTTATCTTCCTCTTCAATACCCAATCTTATTTCCACTCGGAGAAGATGGGTATAGAGATGATATATACCATCGAGAAGAGACTCTAGGAACTACAAAGAAGAAGAAAACTGTTAGCATGAGAGATTTTTTTGCCTACAGACTCATGATGAGAGACAA